AGAGGGAGACAAACCATAAGACACTCTTAATTACAGAAAACAAACTGAGGGTTACTGGAGGGGAAGGAGGTGGAGGGGGATGGGGTAACTGGGTGATGGACATTAAGGAGGGCATGTGATATTATGAGCACTGGATATTATACAAGAATGATGAATCACTGACCTCTGCCTCGGAAACTAATAATACATTATATGTTAATTAATTGAATTTAAATTTTTAAAAAAGAATCATGTTCTTAAGATGTGGGGAAATTTTCTTGAAATTTCCTTTGATAATTTCCTTTCCTCCATTCTCTCTCTAGAATTCCTTTAGTCATGTTATAGACTCCCAACATTGAACTTCTAAATTTTTCTTTTAGCTCCCATTTTTCATCTCTTTATACTTTTGTTCTGCTTTATAGAGTGTTTCTTCAACTTTATCTTCTGACTTTCTACTAATTCTCAATTCCTGCTTCTATATATTTTGATTTCCAAAAGCACATTTTTATCCTCCATGAAATTAATAACAAACTCTTTGCATTTCACAGCATGAAGAATTTTCCTTGTTTTCTCAGAAAAACTGGATTTTTCTTTGTATTCTCAGAGTAACTCTGGATTTTTAGGGTTTCCCTTTGCTTCCTTCATTGACTCTTTTTTCTAATGTTTCTTTTTTATTTAGAAGATTTTATTTATTTGGGAGAGAGAGAACAATGGAGAGGAGCAGAAGGAGAGGGAGAAGCAGACTTACTGCTGAGCAGGGAGCCTGATTCGGGGCTCCATCCCCAGACTCTGGGATCATGACATAAGCCAAAGGCAGACACTTAACTGACTGAACCACCCAGGCGCCGTGTAATTTTTTTTTTAATGGTTTGTTTTTGTCTCTGTCTTTCCTGCAAAAAGTTATTCCGTGGGGGCACCTGGGTGTCTCAGTCATTAAGCGTCTGCCTTCATCTCAGGTCATGATCCCAGTGTCCTGGGATCAAGCCCTATATCAGGCTCCCTGCTCAGTGGGAAGCCTGCTTCTCCCTCTTCCTCTCCCCTTGCTTGTGTTCCCTCTCTCTGTCAAATAAATAAATAAAATCTCTAAAAAATTTTAAAAAAAAGTTTTTCTGTAAGGGATAGTGATCCCTGACTATCCATTCATATTAAGGAGAGAGACAGTAGAAGCCAGCAGGAAAGTGTGTGTGGAGGTTGAACTCATAGATGGGAGGGCCTCACTTTAGGATGGTCAGGTGGGGCCCTGCTTTTTTATAAAACCCTTAAATGCCAACATTCTCTTGGGCTGCTTGGTTTCTTCAGAAAGAAATCCTCTCCAGTCCTGCTTAAGAACATATACAAAGTCCTCATGCTGGGAGCCTCGTAGGAAAAGGATGGGGAGGGTGTCTTGCCATTCAGTAGACACTTTCTCTAATCCCTGTCTTCTAGGAAAATGCCTCACTCTAGTGGTTAGCTGTGACAGGTGTCCTGAGCCAGAGTTTTTTTGCTTTTACCTCTTCAGAAGGTGTCTGTAGTTTTCCACCAAGGAAGAAGGAGAGGTACTTACTTGACTGCCAGTCCCAAAGCACTCCTTATATGAGTCTTCTGGTTTTCATTTTACCTCATACTTCACCTTTAGAAGTATATGGCCCCTCTGATTTCTGACTTTTCCCAGGAGTATTATTGTACAAATTGCTTTGTCAGCTTCCTCTCCTTCAGGTATTTCACAAGGGGGGAAAACTGAAACCTGTGTCACTTTCCACTTGTCTCTCTGCATTCATTCTTCCCAAATTGTGGCAAACTTTTTATTGGCAATCATCTCATATTGCTTTCTCTCTGTCCTTATGGGCTGACATCTTTTTTACTCCTTTGATGCCATGTTAGTGGTGATTTAGGAGGTACTGCGGTATGCACAAGGAATATATTTTGGTACCTGGTTTTCCTTCTTTGTGTATAACTTTCCATATCCAAAAGAATATTTGAGATTACGTGCAATAAAAGATACATATGCAGGGAATGTTGAGACTTGGTGAAGACAACAAAAATTAAGTAACAAAAGGAGGGAAATATCTGTGCCAGAAAACCAGGCTAAGGGTCTGGGCTATGATAGTAGAAAAGTTGGCCTTACTGAGCTGCTATGGCAGTTTTGCTAGAAGGAGAAATATGATACGTTTCACAGCCCTTATTATTTAGCTGGAAGCATACCAGGACATTAGATAAAACTTCTCCTACTAAATCTATTAGGTTGCTTGTTCCCATTACTTAATAAAAGTACCTAGTACTACAACTCAGCATTGATGACACTGAGTTGGTTAGAGTGGGACCCAGATAAGAAAGAAACAAAAGAAGATATGTGTGTGGGGGTATAGATGCTAGGTACTGATTCATAGACATCTTTCCCAACTTAAGCCAGATGATGACATTTGCCATTGTACTAACCTGAAATTTCCAACTTAACGCAATGTTCCTAGGTGGAAGGATGTTAAGAAAGTACTCTGTAGAGGAAGGCTCCTTGTGCTCTTATCTTCCTTTGCCAATTCAGAAGGATATTCTCTAGTAACTGTGGTTGTGATTTCAAGGTAAAGAATAGGCAGACAGCAGAGAATTATGTTGGTAGTACATTCCTTGACTTTTCCTCTCAAAAACATAAGTAAGCATATGAGTGATCTAGATTCAGGATTCAATAGGATCACTATCAGATTTCCAAATTTCACTTTTAGAAGTTTAGGGGGAAATTCTAGATTCCAATAAGCATTGTAAGGTAGGATCAATACAGTAGGTTTAGCATATTTTTTTAGGCAACAAACTAGGTTCTGGGGGTTTACACAAATAGGCAAGCTCAGTCCCTTTTCCCAAGGAGCTTATCTTCTACCCACAGAAGATAATAAAATGACACGGACATTTAATAGAGGAGACACTTTGCAGACATTACCACCCTCCTATGTGGAGAACTATTCCCCTTTCCCTACTGTCAGGGTGAATCTGTGCAGCCTGCAATGAGAACCCTGCCCTTCTGGCCAGGGATGATTGGATTAGAGGTCTGGGGATGTGTGACCAAAGCTACCCCAGAAGGATTTCTTCTCCCAGGGATTTAGAATTAGAATTCAAAGACGCTAATTGGTCTCTGCATTCCACTGAATTAAGGGCATTTTTGACCATGCGCCTGTGGCAATGCAGAGAACATGTCTGGAGAAACAGGGAAAAAAATGAAGCAGTATGTAGAATGGCTTTCCAGTTCCTGCTTTTGGACTCATGGAATCCATAAAATACTCCTACATTAAGAGCCTTGATCAAAACAACTGCACTACTATACCACCAGGAAGGCCAACAAATGAGTATAAACATACTAAGAGGACTATGGTAGGTGAAAGAGCATAGCTGGTTGTAAAGCAGGTGGGATTAGGAGATGATGTTTCCTGGTGAGTTTGAGTGCCAGGCAGTAAGAACAGGAGAAAATGCTGTCTTTGTCCAAGAGAGTCGTAAGTGCAAAGATAGCAAATTTTACACAGTTGGGACATAATTCCACACCACATATTTGTTTAAATGATTGCATTGCTTGGATTTAGCTTCTGTTTCCTTCTTTAGTTCCCTTTGAAAATGTTATACAAATAATGCCAGCTCACAAAACATAAAATCTGAAATAGCTTTCTTCCTTCACATAGTGGGTTGGGCTAAACGCATTCTGTGGATTGTTTACCAAGAATCACCTGGTAAATTATGCAGATGTATGACAATGAACAAGGTGGCCTGAAATAGACCTATGCCAGGGTGCTTTTGACTGGAGGGTCTATTTTACAGGAAAAACCTGGAGTCATATTGCTTTACAGTCTGACTCATGTATTGTTTGTAATATTTCAAGGCAAGCCAGTTAAAATATGACCCAAGGACTGATACTGGAAATGATCTTGTTTTCCATATGCTTTCAAGTGTCTTCACTTAAATGTACATATTTATATCTACATTTAACATCTACATGAACTGTACAAAATATAGTACTGCGATTTGAAGAACAAATTCTGAGATCAAAACCTTAACTGCCACCATTTCCTTGGGCAAGTGTTTTCATCTTCCTATGCCAGTTCCCTCATTTGAAAAGTGGAGATTATTCCTACCTCAAGGGTAATTGAAAGAATTACACTAGTTAATGTATAAGGTGCCAAGCATGTTCTGTGTCACATAGAACTTCTTAAATAGTAGGTATTATTTTTAAGGTATTATTATTAAAGAGTAAGTCTCCTTAAATAGTAGGTATTATTAATATTATAGAAACTGTCATGTTTAGGAGAGACTACCGGGGATCAGAAATGTTTATTGAATGAAAAAGCAGGCACCAATAGCACAGATTTCTTCCTGTCCTTTGTAAATGCTTACCTGTCTAGGAACTGGACGCTCAACTCACTGTGCACTGTCACCAGAATCGCCCATTAATTTATCAAGTAAGGCAATCTAGTAACTCTAGGTGTATCTTCTCCTAAGGACCCGGACTGTTGAACTGGAAAGCTGAAAGTGCGGACATGACAAATACCTTTCGACCCACACCCCCCATAGGTCGCCAGCTTATTTAAAAGGTGCGTTCCCGCAGGTGCCAGTTGGTAACCTTTAGGCGGTCTCTAGAGACCCCCTGTCAGTTCGCGGCGGAACGCAGCTGAAGACTCAGGTTCTCCCAGGTGTCCGCGGCCACCCCGAGCCCTGCACCAGGTGAGGGTTTAGTGTGGCGGAGGTGCCCCCCCCGCCCCGCCGTCCCACTTGGGGGCCCCCCCCCCCCCCGCCCCGAAGTCCCACTTAGAGTAGCTCCGCTGGCTCCCCTGGGCGCAGAGGCCACTGACAGCGCCTTCCCACCTTCTCCGGGCCGCTCGCGGCCAACTGGTGGACGGATACCTGGAGGACGCCTCCAATCTCCGCGGGCGCCACGCCCGCCGCGCTGGCGGCGGCGCGGGGAATAAGTAGAGAGCGCCGGGCCGCAGAGGTAAAGCGCGGGCCCGGGCAGCGCGTCGCAGGGTCACAGTTTGTACGCAGGGCCTGGGCAGCCTCACGACCGAGCTACCATGGACCCGCCGCGGGGCATCGGCACCTTCGTGGTGTGGGACTACGTGGTGTTCGCCGGGATGCTGCTCATCTCGGCTGCCATTGGCATCTACTACGCCTTCGCCGGGGGTGGCCAGCAGACCTCCAAGGACTTCTTGATGGGCGGCCGCAGAATGACTGCCGTGCCGGTGGCGCTGTCCCTCACCGCCAGCTTCATGTCGGCAGTCACCGTCCTGGGCACCCCCACGGAGGTGTACCGTTTTGGGGCCATATTCAGCATCTTTGCCATCACTTACTTCTTTGTGGTGGCCATCAGCGCGGAGGTTTTCCTGCCGGTGTTCTACAAACTGGGAATTACCAGCACCTACGAGGTAAAAAAGAGGAAGGGGACGCTGGGGAGAAAAAGGGGCAGGGCTTTTCAGGGTCTTGGAGGGATTTTCCTGATGGCCAACTCTGCACCATGTCCAAATCCCTCCCTGTCCAGGTCCGTGACCTCCCCTGAGGTCCCCTTTTGGGGAGAGTTGTCCAGTGAAGGCGACAAAATCTTTGGGGTTACTTGCATGACCTCAGTGAAAAAGAGAAATTTCCAAAGTAAACGGGATGATTTGGACTAGGGCTCACAAAGGCCCTTTCTGCTTTTAGTATCTTTGATTCGGAGTCAAGAGGAAAGATTTTAATACTTTTTATCCTGGGGAGGGCAAGTGTTCAAGTCTCAGCCCCTCCTCCTTGAAAGGAATGGCCTTGTCCCAGGTTCCCAGACACCATTCACTTTTCCAGGAAAGTTGGAGAATTTGCGCTCTCCCCTCCTTGCTTCCGCACAGGCATGTTCCCTGGAGAGACAGATTCCCCAATGGTTAAGGTGCTGTAACTAGTCTCAGTACCTGCATTTGAGACCAGATTCTACATTTACTAGCTGGGTACACTTGGGTGATTTATTTAACCTTTGTGCCCTATTTTATTTTTTCATCTTAAAATGAAAACGATACCAACTATCTTATCCAGTTGTTGGAAGGATTAAATGAGATGATTCAAATATAGCATTCAGAATAGTGTCTGGAGCAGGGTGAGTGCTGGACGAACACTGACCATAAGTATTTGTGGTGGTAGGGGCAGAGGTGGTTGTTTTGGGGTCACTAGGAAGACTTGGCTGCAAGGTTATCAAACAGGCCTACCTTCTCTGTATCTGGAAAGATGATTAAGGAAAACGATCTTTCCTGGTGCACAGCTCCGCTGGTTATAGGTGTTCTTCAGTTGTCTGCAGGAAAGGGCTTTGCAAAAATGGGGAATGTTTGGTTTAGTTTAAAGAGCTGTTGAATGGGAGTGCGGGATTGGGGGTGGGGCATAAAAGCTCTGGGGTGTGGAGGGGACTGTTCAGTGCCCTCACTGGTCTCCTTTTCCCAGGTACTATCCCATGAGCAACATGGATAAACAGGGCAGAGTTTCCTCTTTCATAGGTCATGATCCAAAGGGTGATTACACTCATTCCTCAGTGCTTGAGTTTAGGTACAGAGTGCTCTAATCCAGAGCTACTGGAAAGGTGGTTTCCTAGTGAGGCTGGTTCAACTGGTGCTGGCTAAAGGGCCTCAATGGCACAAGTGTTGGTGACAAACGCCTGGGCTATAGTGACGCCATCCAGGGCGAGGCACCCCTGGGGCAGCATGCCTTCCTCTCACTGGCCATTGTGTTTGGGAGAGTTCAGTCATCATCCCAGAAGTGAGCAGGATAGAATTTCTCTGTTTTGCTCAAAGGTAACAAAGCTGGCTTTCCCAGACCAAACTGTTTTCTTTTTCTTTTCTTTTCTTTTTTTTTTTTTTTGACCCTTATGGTGTTTTGAAAGAAAATTAATTTAGCATTTCTGATGTTGAGAAGTCAAATAAAATTCCAGATTCTAGTTTCTTTTGAAAATTTAGAAGCCTGGGAGTGCCTGGGTGGCTCAGTTGGCTAAGCAGTTAAGTGTCTGCCTTTGGCTTAGGTCATGAACCCAGGGTCCTGGGATTGAGCCCCACATCAGGTTCCCTGCTCAGCAGGGAGCCTGTTTCTCCCTCTCCCTCTGATGTTCCCTCTGCTTATGTGCTCTCACTCTCTCTCTGTCAAAAAAATAAATAAAATCTTTTAAAAAATTTAGAAGAGTGGTGACACTGGGCTCACATTCCCTGTGATGCAGGAACTCGTTTTAAGGCCATTGCTTTCACCTCCTGTCAGTTTCTGTATTGAGGCCTCATTATTGTAGGTGCATGGTTACTTTCTTATGATAGAGAAATCTTTATCTGCATTTTTGTCTTCCTCAAAAATGTGAAAGAGAAAAGGGACAGGGGTGAAGGGAGTACTTGGTTTTGAGAGAGAGATGAGATGACATATTTCTTAGTGGATATGAGGACTATTTCAACATTTTAATATATGAACACCTGGCTGATCCACTGGTGTATGTTACCTGATGAGCCCTTAGGCATTTTGTATCCATGAGCTCTGATGTGTAGTTAACCAACTCTAGAACTCAGAAGGGTTTTCAAGAACCTTGCAAGAGGACTTCAGTCCCCAGAGAGGAATGCTCCTCTAATAAGCACTGACCCATGCCTCCTCAGGGGCAGCAACATTAACTCAACCAGAAACAGATTTCCAACACATTTCCCGTGGTGGATGCTGTTAGCAGGGTTCCAGCCAAAAATGGCAAAAAGTTAACGTTTACCAAATGTTTAATACATGTGTGGCACTGGGCTGCATGTTTTATACACATACATTATCTGAATCAATACTCTAAACAATCCTTATGAGGGGGGTACTATGAGAGCCCCATGTTGGCAGACAAAATTAAGCTACATAAGAGAGTGTGAGGCAAAGTAGACACATGCCTGGGACTATGTAGTGGTGCCTACTGTCTGCTTCTGAAAGCTCTGGTAAGTCTGCTTCTGAAAGCACTGGTAACCCAGGCAGGGCTTAAAAGAGTGCATAGAGAACAAGAGAAGTAGAACCAAACACCAAGGGTTTGGGCATGCTGGGGGTGTTCATGACTCACGGGTGCCCAGCAGTAGGGGTCAGGGAGGTTAGATAACATGCTTTGTCCCTGACAGTTGGCCATAGCAAACACTTTCTTGTATTTTTTGCATGTTTTGTGCTGAGAGGTGGAACCACCTATACAGAATAAGAAGTCCAGCATCGAGGGATACCTTGGCATTCTAGCTCAAATGTGAAATCTCTTCCTGCTTACATTTCTCTACTAGAAAGCATTTTTGTTATCTATTTATCCCTGCCTTCAAAGTATAGGCCTGATAGGTGTTTCACCAATTCCAAACCCACAGACAAGAAGTAAAATGCAGGAATCCAGTTTCATTCCCCACTTTTTCAGGATCTTTCTGGATCCATGTAATCTGTGTGTTGGATCTGAGTTATCCAGAATATGTGTGTGTATGTGTGTATCTGTGTGTGTACATGTGTGTGTGTGTGTGTGTGTGTGTGTAAAATATGTATTTTTGGATTATATTTGTCTTTATTATTCATATATATTTATTTGTGAATAGGTATGTATGCTTATAATTGTGAATTATATTAATCTGTGGATTTAGATCCAACTTCTTAATGTCTTAGTTTTGAATTACAGTTTATAATATTTCCCCATCCATTTATATCATTCAATAGTCTCCAAACTCCTGCAAAGTAAGAGGGAAAAGAATTAATACTGTGATCCTCAATTTCAAGAAGAGGAGCCTAAGATCTCCAGTGACTGCCCCAAGCTTGTGCAGTCACAAGTAGAACTGGGTTGAGGGCTCGAACTCCTCCCTAAAACTATAATATGCTGCATATTTTTTTACCTGTCAGTTGTTTTGGAAGGTTCTACTATGTGTCAGTGCCACCTACTCAAAGCTATGGTCGGTTTCCTTACTTACTTATTTGGAATAATATAGTTGTTCCCTGTCTAGATTTAGGCATTAAATAGTCCTAGACTTGCATTGCGGCTTTGAGAGCTATAAGGTTGCAACTCTGGTATCTCTTAGCACCAGTGCCCTCCCCTCTAATAGGTAGTTCTGGCCTCAGGGAGTTGTTGGGAGGACAGTGTACATAGCAAGTACTCTATAACTGTTACCTGTGATTATGGAGCAAAAATATATGGTGTCATTTCTCCAGACTATTACTTAATGTCAGTTTTTCCTTCCTCCTTTTTTTCTGGTATGAAGACTGTTTTCAGCTTTAAAATTCCCTCTACGTGAGTAATAGTATTCAAGTTAAAGAATGTTTGAGACCCCAGCTTCTTTCCAGCTTTAAAATTCTATGATTCTATCTCTATATTATGACATATAATATAGGAGATGAGCTGACTATATTTCAAGATATAGCAGATACCAAGGAGAGTATGAAAAATTGGCAGGGTTGTTGGCTCTGAACAGAAACTGACTTAGGCCAATTTAAGTAAAAAATAATTTATTTGGGAGGATATAGGGGTAGCCCATAGAACAGAGTGAAAAGCTGGATGAATAAGCTGTGAAAAGGACAGAAGCCAGTGAAGCATCTTCAGGCCACTGTTAGATCAGTCTGCTTCTGCTTCAGTCATTTTCTGTCTTTATGTTATACGTCCAAGAGCCAAATACCCATTGGAGAGAGGAGCTGATTGGCTGAGCTTGGGTCATGTGACCATCCCTTAGTCAAAAGAGGCAGGACACCTTCACGGACAAGTCCATCACAATTGCCTGCAGTGGGAAAGGGCTGATTCCCAAGTGAATCAGGGAAATATCTGAAGTAGATAGCAAGAGAAAGGGGAGAAGAGCACTTCGCTCATTTTGAAGTTGCAGAATATAATCCACTTAGGTGAGATTCTGGGAAAGCCAAAACTAGGGATGGAGAACAGATCAGTGATTGCCAAGGTTTGGGGTTTAGGGAACAGTTTGACCGTAAAGAAACAACATAACAAAGTTCTCTGAGGGTGATGGAACTATCCTGTATATGTGAAAATCCAATGAACTGTACTTTAAAGCAAGAGCCAATTTTGGTATATGTAAAGAAAAATAATAGTAATATAGGAATACAGAATACAAATCACTTATGAAGTTGCTTTAAATTTTTTTAAATTTCAATTTAGTTAACATATAGTGAGTATATTATTAATCGCAGAGGTAGAATTTGGTGATTCATCAGCTGCATATAACACCCAGTGCCCATTACTTCACGTCCCCTCCTTAATGCCCATCATCCAGTTAGCCCATCTCCCCATCAACCTCCCTTCTAGCAACCCTCAGTTTGTTTCCTATAGTTAAAAGTCTCTTACGGTTTGCCTCCCTTTATGTTTTTATCTTATTTTTTCTTCCCTTCCCCTATGTTCATCTGTTTTGTTTCTTAAATTCCACATGAGTGAAATCATGTATTTGTCTTTCTCTGACTGACTTCTTTCACTTTACCCTCTAGTTCCATCCACATTGTTGCAAATGGCAAGATTTCATTCTTTTTGATGACTGAAGTTGTTTTGAATTTCTAACCCCTTTACTTCTTAAGCAGATCATTTTTTTAAAGGAATATAAAGTTTTCACATATTAACCATTTCTTCCTTTTTTGGAAACAGTATTTAGAGCTCCGGTTTAACAAATGTGTCCGTCTCTGTGGAACAGTCCTCTTCATTGTTCAAACAGTAAGTCACTCTCCCTTAGTTTGCTTTACCTTCTGTTGTCTAAAATATTTTCAACCAAGGCACCTGGGCTAAACTTATTTGGTAAGCACATGAAAGATAAAAAAGGTGTTGAAAAGAAGAGTAAACTAAAAAGGGAAAACATTTGTCATTACTTTCCATTCTTCATCCAAGTTGCTGGAGGCTTGTCATGATTATAGTCTCTTCATTTATACCCATCTTCCTCTTGGCAGCTGAGTGCTGTAGGGATGGGTTTGATCATGGAAGTCCAGGAAGGACTTTTCATTTTCATCCTTATTTGTAATTCACTTCTCCAATCACAAGCTACCAAAGCATTTGCAACAGCGTCACAGAGTGCCTTTGTAAATTGTTTAACTTGACTCCATTTTATGTTTCTGTAAATTGCATAACTTAGATTGGTCATTGGTAAAAGAAAGGAGCCCTTTGGGGTCTGGCAGAGATCCTGACAAAGAAAGAACTGAAGCTGGTAGCTTGCATTTGCCAACTGTTCAGACCCTCTTTGTATAATTTTTAGAAATGCCTACAGAAATGAAAAGTGGGGAACGGGTGTTAGGAAGATGGTCCATGGCCTTGTTTTCAAATCTTTAACTTGGTCAGGATAATGACTGTGGAAGTCTGGTTCCTTCTTGCAAAAAAGAGGAAAGCTTTAGCATCTCCCACTTGAAGGACTTATTTCCGTTGATCTACCCATGTAATATAATCAATCATTCAAATACTGTAATATGGCTTCTTTCATAGTATGTTTTTATAGAGTAAACATGGACTCATAGAGGATCCTAGAACCATAATACATTTTTATAGAACAAAATCACATAGAATATATATGATATATTTGAAAGATCAAATGCAGTGGAAATGATGTTCTGAGAAAAAAGACCATATTTATCATACCCTGGATTAATAAATATTTGTTAGGTGTATGAGTGAAAAATAATATATAGAAAAGATGGAATATGATTTTTGTTGGCTTTCAAGATTTTTTTAGTGTAAATATATACTTTTGCTTAATTAGTGAGCATGAAAACTTTTTAAAACCAGTTTACAAAATTTTCACTGTTTTCCCAGTTAATTATGCAGTGATTAATAATAGTTTGAAATCATGTGAATGGGGAACCATCTCCTTTTAAACTTGAGTTTTTTCTTCCTAATTGTTTAGATTGAGGAGAGTTGATTTCAAGCTTGAGGGGATGGATCAGTGACTATCTGCACTAAGCACCATGTGAAAAGTCCATAATTTTAACAAAATGGGTCATATAAGATTTTTGTAAACTATGACCACACCACAAACAGGAGAATCAACTCCACTTAAATAACATTTTCAAGTTACAAACATATTTTATTAAGTATATTGAAACTACTGTTTTAATTCATTGTTGAGGTTATAGAAAAATTGACTATTTATTTTATAATTCATACAGTTTCTTTTTTCTTGTAGATTTTGTATACTGGAATTGTTATTTATGCCCCTGCCCTGGCTTTGAATCAAGGTATATTTTAGAGTTACCAGTTATGTCACTCACATTTTGGGGGTCATTTTTAATAGAACTTATTCTCTCTTTGAGGAGTTGTGGAGTTGGAGGGATGTTTCCAGTAACCTGCATCAGCTTGAGGGGAGCAAGATGGGCTTAGTGTTTAGCAGCTTCTTTGCATTTCTGGATCGATAGCTCCAAAAGATCTATGATTAATAGAAGTGCCAACCCACCATGCTCCACTCCCTCAGAATGAACGCCCCCTATGGTCTAAATCATGAATGGCTGCACTTTCTTCCTTGGTGGAAGCCCATAGTCAAGAGGCTTCTGTGTTACTCAGCTCAGCTCCATCATAAAATGTGGCAGGGAGAGAGCTTTCCTTATTTCCATTTCTATTGTTGTCCAAAATGCAAGAGAAGGAGATCTGTGTGATTTGAAATGTCAGCTCACTCCTAGTGACAAAATGAAAGTGGCTATGGTGTCCTTTTAAACAAATATATGAAGATGGTGCTGATTGACATACTCCTGTACTCTCTGGTTTTGGGCGGATAAAAGCCATGGAACTGGAATAGTTTCCTGAGGCAAAGATGCCTGTTAGTCATATCCTTAAAAGGCTTTGGGAAAACCCCATATCCTTTGGATTCTTATCAATCAGATGTTTGTTTATCTTTTAGGCTTCCTTATGAAATGTACAGGTGTACTCTGATGGGGAAAATGTGATGCAATTCCTGGAGTTAATATAAAATGGAAAGCCTTTCTAAACCCACACTCTAATTTCTGCTTTCATGGCAGATAGATAATAATTATTACCTAAGTTTATAAAGTACAACAGTATCATTATAAAATATTCCATTATATAACATGCTCTTGAATTCTGAATGTCAGGCATGTTCCAAGTCAATATTACCAACATCATGATCGAGTCATTTCATGTGTAAAGAGCTAACTTATAAACTTCATAAGTTACCTATTGGCAGTAAGTATAATTAAAGATGTGGCCTTGGGGTTTTAAAGTGCAGTTCTGGCAGTAAGAGAGTACTGTCTTCCATCTATGAAGAAATCAAGGACTCTGATCTTATCAGTTTATTGGGCTATTCCATAGGAGTTAGGGCCCAAGAAGCTGCTGAATTTTGACCACTTGAATATCAATTGCATATATTACTGTGACCAAAGATAAATATAGAACTTGGTATGCAATAGATGTGCCATAGAAACTTGTTTAACTGAAATGAATCTTAACACTCTCTACATCCAATCGTTTTCATTTTACCTTTTAAAAAATATATATAGAAAACTTTAAATAAGTATATGCTAGAAAAAAGAAAATAGTATATTGAACTCTAATGTATACTTTACACTAAAAATTATCAACTCTTGTTTCAGTTCACTCTGTTTCCCTCGCTAGAGTATTTTGCTGTACATCTGAAGTATTTCATCATTTCATCTGAATTCAGTATCTTTTAAAAATAATGATGTGCTAATTTTTTCACTGGGGTATAATTATAACATTGTATTATATTATAATGATTTAAGATTTGTATATATTGCAAAATGACTATTAAATGTCTAGTTAACATCTGTCTCCATACAAAATTACAAAAGCTCTTTTTCTTGTGATGAGAGCTTTTAATATTTACTCTGTTGGCAACTTTTAAATATGTAATAGAGGATTATTAATTATAGTCATGTACCTTACATCTCTGTGACTTAGGTATTTTATAACTGGAAGTTCATACCAGGATGTGTTTTGTACATACAATTATACCATATTCATATCTAAAATATTAACATTATTTTTGGGATGCCTGTGTGGTTCAGTTGATTAAGTGTCTGCCTTTGGCTCAGGTCATGATCCCAATAGTCCTGGGATTGAATCCCGTATTGGGCTCCCAGCTTAGCGGGGAGCCTGCTTCTCCCTCTGCCTGCCGTTCCCGCTGATTGTACTCTCTCTCTCTCTGACAAATAAATAATCTTGAAAAAATAAATAAATAAAATATTAACATTATTTAAAAAAATCAATATGAAGTCAATGTTCAGCTTTCCTTGATTTTTTTTTCAGTGTTTGTTAGAATCAGGACTCAAATAAGTTTATGCAGTTGCAATTAGTTGATTCGATAAATTTCTCTTTCTCGCTTTTAAAATCTTTTTCTTTATAAATAGGCTCCACACCTAGCATGGAGCCCAGTGCAGGGCTTAAAATCACAACCCTGAGATCGAGACCTGAGCTGAGGTCAAGAGTCAGATGCTTAACTAACTGAGCCATCCAGACGCCCCTCTTGCTTCTTATTTTCTTATTATTTATTTATTTATTTACTTATTTATTTGACAGACAGAGATCACAAGTAGGCAGAGACGCAAGCAGAGAGAGAGAGAGGGGGAAACAGGCTCCCCGCTGAGCAGAGAGCCCGATGTGGGACTTGATCCCAGGACCCTGGTATCATGACCTGAGCCGAAGGCAGAGGCTTTAACCCACTGAGCCACCTAGGTGCCCCCTAAATTTTGCTTCTTAAAATTAAAAACCATTTTTTGTTGAAATATAACTTATACACAATAAATGTACAGAAATTAAGTGTACAGTTGAACTAGTTTTAACAATTGTACATAGTTATGTGACCACCACCCAACTGGATACAGACTATTTTCACCATTTAATCCTAGGAGATTTTCTTGTGCTTCTTTCTAATAAATTCCCCTGCCAACCCAAGCTGCCACTTTCTGATTTTTTTGTCAATCATGAATTAGTTTTCCCTTTTCTTAGATTTTATATAAATGGAATCATGTAGTACCTCTTTTGTAATGGTTTATTTTGCTCAACAAAATATTTCTGAGATTCATTCATGTTGCTACATGTTTCAGGAGTTCATTCCTGTTTATTGCTAATATTTTATCATCTGTATCTCTACAGTCTGTTTATCCATCAACAACGTTGGGCACTTTTAGGCCATTATGAATTAAGACTACTAAGATCATTCTTGTACAGGTTTTGTTTTGTCTCGCTTTGCTTTTTTTAAGTTCATTTGCATTTGTTACAAACTTTTAAAGCAGAATGTGACTTGAACACTGCATTTCCACTCACAGAACTTGCTGAGTTACTTTTTTGAGCAGCTTTACAACACACCTAAATAGGCTTATAATTTTGCTAAACAACGCTCTTCTTTGGAAAACATGCCATATAGATAGTTATTCCCATCAAGTTGGTTCAGTTTCACATATGAGTTTCTAGGTGCCTGGTACATGCAGTTGATAATTATAGGGGATAGAAGATTTAAAAAATAGATCCTAGAAGGTGAAAGTTATTTTAACCAATATTTTTCTTTTAAACATCAAGGTATAGCTCAGAACACTTTAGTGACAAAAAATTTGGTCCTTACTAAGGAATCTGCTTGATTGCTAAATACTTTATTTTTTTTTTTACGATTTTATTTATTTATTTGACAGACAGAGATCACAAGTAGGCAGAGAGACAGGCAGAGAAAGAGGAGGAAGCAGGCTCCCTGCTGAGCAGAGAGCCTGAGAAGGGGCTTGATCCCAGGACCTGGGATTATGACCCGAGCTGAGGGCAGAGGCTTTAACCCACTGAGCCACCCAGGGGCCCCGATTGCTAAACACTTTAGACCACACAGTCAATATTAGTTTGCATACATCTTACAACAAATGTTACCTTGTTCCATTAAAATAAGCCAGTGTGGAACGAGGAATGAAAAAGGAGCTGGGCTTTAGTTCCTAAATATCACAGCATCTCACTCACAAAGAAATCTTATCTTCCCCTTAAATAGTTCTTGCTATGTCATAGAGATTTTTAAAATATTAACAAAAATAAAGAAAAACATCCTTGAAATATATTATCCCCCCCAAAAAAGAAAATATATTACTGGAGGGAATAAAGATAAAGTATTGAATACATGTACAAATAATTCGTGGGGCAGCACTTGGTCTGTTTCTTCCATACATGATATGTTGTCATCTCCTTTGAGGGGCAACATCTCTTTGGTTATGACAACATTGCCAGCATCAGTAGTAGCATCATCTTCATCAATACCAAAACCAGATTTGGTCATCCTGTAGATCCTGGTAGCATGTGTCTGAGGAGTTGCTTTTGACACATGTTTTTATCTCTATTGGTTGAATGCCTGGAAGCAGTGTAGTTAAACATAAACCCATGATAACCTAGTACAGGGCAGGTGCATGTACAAAATTTAAGAGAAACTGGAAAACATTTTTTCTGAATGGTTGTATCATTTTACATGCCCACTCCACAATGTGTGCATGTCCAAGTTACTCCAGTTGTGCTTCTGCCCTGGCTTTGAATCAAGGTACATCTTGTCTTTTTTTTTTTTTTTTTTTTTTTGAAATTAACATATAATGTATTATTTGTTTCAGGGGTACAGGTCTGTGATTCATTAGTCTTACATAATTCACAGCATTCACTATAGCACATATCCTCCCCAATGTCCATCACCCAGTCACCCCATCCCTCTCCAGCAACCCTCAGTTTGTTTCCTGAAATTAAGAGTCTCTTATGGTTTGTCTCCCTCTCTGATTTCATCTTGTTTCACTTTTCCCTTCCCTTCCCCGATGATCCTCTGTCTCATTTCTCAAATTCCTCATATCAGTGAGATCATATGATAATTATCTTTCTCTGAGTGACTTATTTCACTTATCACAATACCCTTTAGTTCCATCCATGTCATTGCAAATTAATCAAGGTACATCTTAACGTTATCAATTATGTCACTCACATTTGAGGGCAATTTATTATATAGGAAAACAATTGACTTTTGTATATTACAACTTTGCTGTAATCACTTACTACTTTCAGTTTTTGTTACATCAATGATCATGTCATCTGTGAAAAAAGAAGAGTTTTATTTCTTCTTTCCCAATATGTATACCTTTTATTGCCTTTCTTGCCTTATTGCACTAGCAAGGACTTCCAGTAACTTCCAGTTAAAAAGGAGCAATGAGAGGGAACATCCTTTCCTTGGACCTGATCTTAGTGGGAAAGCTTTGACTCTCTCAGTCTTAAGTAGGATGTTAGCTGTAGGATTTTTGTACACAGTCTATCAAGTTGAGAAATTTCCCCTCTATTCCTAGTTTACTGAGTTTTTATAATAAATGGATGTTGCATTTTGTCAGATGATTTTTCTGCATCTTTTGATATGATCATGTGATATTTCTTTTTTAGTGTGTTAAGATGATAGATTCCATTAATTGATTTTTAAATTTTGAACCAGCCTTGCATACCTGGAATAAATCCCTCTCAGTCATGGTATATAATTCTTTTTATACTCTTTTGGATTCCACTTGTTAATTTTCAATTTGCTGAAGATTTTTGCTTCTGTGTTCATGAGAAATATTGGTTTGTAGTTTTCTTGTAATGTCTTTATCTGGTTTTGGTATTAGAGCAATCCTGGCTTCTTAGAATGAGTTAGGAAGTATTCCCTCTTCTTCTATTCTGTGAAAGATATAGCAGAGAATTGGTATAATTTCTTCCTTTATAAATTAGTAGAAATTACCAGTTAACCCATCTGGGCCTAGCTTTCTGTTTTGGAAGGTTTTTAATTATTGATTCAATTTCTTTAATAGCTATTGACCTATTTAGATAATGTATTTCTTCTTGCATGAGTGTTTTAGCCTATTGTGTCTTTCAAGGAATTGGCCCATTTTATATAGGTTATCACAGATATGGGCAGAGTTGTTATTCTTCCATTTAGAAAGAATATGCCCCTCCACTTAGATAAATGGTAGCAAATTATATGACTTTTGTCTTTCTTGGTCTCATCTTAGTAACATGCACAACTTGTCTTTCAAGGACTGGTAGAATAGTGTGTTTATTTGAACTATGAAGACACATACTATCTGACCCCATTCAGTCTGGGTAACTACCTCACAGAATCAAGTTGTTTCTTAGCTTCATTACAATATAAATGCTTTTTCATGTGTTTAATTTAGGCAGTGGTGGATCCAGGTATGCTCTCTAAGGGCAGAAACTAGTTCCATTTACTTACCAAGTAAAATTTTACTTCATTTGTTTAGGGGCATTTTATGAGATTTGGATCTAGTTTTAGGCAGGAGTAGAGAAGTAGGTAGAAAGATAGGTGCCCCATAAATAATATCACTACCTATTGATGATTTTTTGAGAAATATTTTTATTATACATGTTTCACAGTTATACATGCATTTTCTTTTCTTTTTTTCTTTTTACAGTCACGGGATTTGATCTGTGGGGTGCAGTAGTGGCAACAGGGGTGGTCTGTACATTCTACTGCACACTGGTATGTCAAGAACCTTATTTCTTCTTTCACTCTACCAACTGTTTTGCAAAGTTGAAAATTCCAATAGTTGTGTTCTGCAGACTAGATTGTTTGTATGTCCGCTCCTACTCCTACCACCCACAGTGTAACTTTTTTATAAGAAAGAGTCCAGCTGGGGAAAAATTTGATTCTTTATAGAGCATTGATTATAACTAAAACTTTTTTCTTTTACCTGATCCATTGCGGTGGTCCTGAGTCTTGTCTCCTACTTCACCCTTACTATTGCTAAATTATTATATTTGTGCTCATACTATCTCAGCTTAGAAACCTAAGATATATTGCATGGAGCACTGGGTATGGTGCATAAACAATGAATCTTGGAACACTGAAAAAATAAATTTAGATTAAAAAAAAAAAAGAAAAGAAACGTAAGATAGTTTCCCATTGCCTAAAGGCGGGAATCGCAGTCAAAATATGTAACAACCAGATAGTATGGACACTGGTATTATAATGGATGCTAGTTTCTAGAAGTGGTGCAACTCTTGTGGTATATCTGACATAATAGGTCTTAAGACTTTAGTGGATTTTTTTAGAAGATGGGGATCTCAGGGAGGGGATAGTTCAGCCAAGGACACAGGGACTGGAGAGAGACACTGGGAAGTTTGTGTCAGTGGCTAGTACAAAACAATTTTAGTATGTCAACAACTGGCATGACATTCTGTGTGCATACTTGATTGAATATCAGCCCTGCTTATAGGATAAAATCTATGACATTGCCTTTTGCAGTTTCACTCTGGCCGCATTCACCATGTCATGTACTTTGAATTCTTTGTGCTTTTGTCCACGCTGTTTTCTCTTCTGGGATGACCTTCCATCTTCACCTCTGCTTCTGTCTGAAAGGTTGGCTTAAATCACACCCTCTTTTGAAGGTTCTCCCAACCTTACTGTCTATTACCTTAAGTGTATTCCTTGGCCAAGATCTGTGTTTTCATTATTCTTGTCCAGCATGATATATAAGCATGTAGATGATAATAATGTCTGATAAGAGCATTAATCCTAATATTTTTTTCCCTCAAAGGGTGGTCTTAAAGCAGTTATCTGGACAGATGTTTTTCAAATTGGGATCATGGTGGCTGGATTTGCATCTGTGATTATACAAGCTGTAGTGATTCAAGGTGGAATCAGCACTATTCTAAATGATAGCTATAATGGTGGAAGATTAAACTTCTGGAAGTAAGTTGCTATTTATCTCCTGGTCAATAGAACACTCCTTTTGTTTTTTTCTTTCCTATAAAAATAATTTCATCATTGAAGTAGTAGATTTACATCAGAAAACAAATAGATGGCTAAGAATGTGGTATGAAAAATTGAGCTGGTATGTTAATATGTGAGGGGTTTCTACCAGGTCTTTAAGGGGTTAAAGCAGTCAGATGGTTGCTTAGTTACATAGAATGTAACTTCCTTCTGAGAAAGGATTGATAGCAAAAGAGCATTTTTCTTCCAGATATTAAAATCTGGAATTGGTCAAAGGGTGGGTTAGTGTAATTAGGGAAGAGGGAGTGGAGAAATAGGAAAAGGAAACCTCTTAAGAGAAAAACACTAAAGGATCATGCTGTCATTCTGACAGTTCTTTGTTTCAAGCAGCCTAGAGAATTTTTCTATTGATATTGCCCTGGCAATATATATTATTATTATATTTCGTAATTATATATGTACAAATATTTTATAATATTATATATTATTTCTAGAGTATTGACTAGAAAATTATTACTAATGCCTCAAGTGTCAGTATATTGTACAATATAGCATATCCTCAACAGCTATTTAGTTTTCCTAGATTGAAAGACCAGTGGAGAAACTAGATATTTCATCACAGATATACCACACAGCTTAGAGGAATATTTAAAACACCTTTTGGTGTGGATCAGTAGTGTCATTCTTGTTATGTTCAATGTGGGGAGGGGCTCATTTTCATATGGACTGGCTTATTTCCTCTTCAAGCAGCCCTACTTTGAGAGAGGCAAGCTGAAATCACTGGCAAGAAGAAAGAAAAAACATTTCTTTCTTGGTGACTCTTTTCTAGTTTTCTGAAAATGGTGCTAATGTTTGAGAAGAGCCTTTTCAGAAACTGGTCAAGGACATTGTGTTAATTGCAGAGATAAGTTGAATTATGATGAGTCAACTTCCACTATTTTCAATAATTGCTTTTTAACCTCAAGACTGAGATTCCAAGGAAGAGCACCTCCAGTTGTCCTAGCCTGGGCATTATTCCATCCCTTAGCTGTGGCAGAACAGGACATATTATTGACAACCATTTAGACTACTTTATGGTAAAATGGTCATTTCCCCAAAGCAGATTGGGTTGCCATTACTAGAGGACAAGAGAATAGATACAGAGAAGCAGAAACAACTAATGGACACTCAGAAGATCTTGCTTACTCCTAAATTTCCTAGTAGGCGAGGCTGAGGGGAGAGGTAGAATCATTAATTTTTCTGCAAGATAACTCTCACTTTGTACAAAGGCAGCCCATATTGCTTCATTGAAGTGACAACTTATACACCAATAAGAGATTATTAAAAGTAAAAGATTAGACACTTTTATGACCTTTACTATGGAGGATGCCAACTATTAAATAATAATGAAAAGCTTTATTGTGTATCTCTTGTGTGTCTGATATGTTTGAGAATATTGGTGGGCAAAATACCTGCTCTGGTGGTGATAAAGCAAGAGAAGGATTTTGTGTTGGTATTGTCTGTATGGTTATAGTTGTCATACTTATTTTGTATGGCCTAAAACCACTAAATTGGGTATTCTAAATCTTGTCTTACTTCCTTCAAGTAGATTCCTGAAACCTTTTGGCTCTTGACTTCCATTAGCTAATATAGTAGCTGTTTTCTCTATGGGTTAAAGGGTCAACACCCTTGAAACACAACTTTGATATGAAGTGTTAGAGAATGGAGTAGAGGCTCTTATATTTCCATAGGAATGCTGGGATATACATGAAATCTGAAAACTCATCTTAAATATAAGATTGAAATGGATTTGCAGAATTTCATAATTTTTAGAAAGTTTCTATGAAAGCCAATTTTGCAGAAATTTGTCAAACTTATATTGTGTTTCATGGATGAACAGAATCATTCCTTCCAAGATAATGCATTAAGAAGAATTAAAACACATATTCAATACAGAAGTTGAGCTTTCTTTGTGACAATATTTTGGACTTAAGTACATGTCGTTTAGTGACTTTTCACTATTAACATTTAGCTTGTGCACACAGCATTTAAGAAAGTATGATTATAATGACATGGTAATTTTAGAAGATGAAAGCCTTTAAACTGCATTAATTGAGTTCTTGAGCTTGAATATAAATTAGAAATATGACTATACATGTGTTAGGAGAGAAATTATATATGCAAAATGTGTCAATTTTGTGTTCATTTTAGTACCCTATCTATTGCTATGGTGCACTTAGGAACCTAACTCTCTTTATTGCTCTCTCTCTTTTTAGTTTCATGCTTTTCTCTGATTATAGCACAGCAGACTTATTTAAATAACAATTTCCTAAGGCCACTGGAGAACAATTTTTATGAAAGCTCAGAATAATTAGAACATTTGTTTTCCTTCAGTCCCATCCAGAATTTCCAATTCTCTGAAAGTATCCATTTTTATTTCATTGAACTTAAGTTAGGAATTTTTTGCCTTTTTTATTATTTAATAAATTTGTATGTGTTTATATCTGTGTGCATATTTATATAGATACACATTGCTTGCTTCCAAAAAATATTCTAGGATTTTCTGTAGTTTTTTGCTTACAGTTAAAATTTGTTTTCTGTTTCTTTTCATTTAGTTTTGATCCCAATCCTTTGCAAAGACATACATTCTGGACAATTATTATAGGAGGGACCTTCACATGGACCAGCATCTATGGTGTCAACCAATCCCAAGTACAGAGATATATTTCCTGTAAAAGCAGGTTCCAGGCAAAAATGTAAGCCAAACTCTGGTATGGAAATCATTAATAACCACCAGTGTCTTTATTGAAACTTGTTAATTAGTCAAGCTTTGCTCAGGTTTAAGCCTTTTGTATCATGAAATTCCAAGAAATAAATTATATACTTAGTTATAAAAGAATCAAGTGTATTTTAAATCAGATATTTAAAATATTTATATGAATTATTAAGTAAAATAAATCCTATTAACTAAGTAGGCATTTATTGTGTATCTATTTGTATAAGGAGTTATGGAGGATAAAAATTAGAATTATATGGCTCTTCTAATAAAGGAACTTAACATCTAGTTATGAAAACATATACAAGTATGCAAAAAGCGAAATAACCCTAGAAAAGTATCACAGTTCTTTGGAACAATATAATGATAGAAGAAATGGTAAAGGCATTATATTGCCAGATATGCTGGTATATTTTATTTTCAGACATAGTCATGGGTTTATAACTCTGCTCTAATACTTGCTATTTGAGTGGCCAGTTACTTAGTCTCCCTGAGTCTCAGTTTCCAAATTTACAAAATGAGCATAAGAAATATTATACAGCTCAGGAGAGGTATTGTAAAATGTGCCTGGCACACACTTGGTAGTCGTCCAGTAAATGTGACCTCAAATCATAGGATATGAAGGCAGAGATTGGTTGAGAGATTCCTGTCAACCAAGCAGATCCTGAATAATGACCATATATGGGCAGGTAGAGACTAGCGGGAGAGCATTCCATATAGACATTTATTTGGACACAGCCCAGAGGTCAGAAGGATGACGTGATCAGGGAATTCTCAGTCCAGTCTTGGTGAGCAAAGAATATAAATGGTGGCTGGTTCTTTCTCAGCAGGTCTCGGATCAGTACGGTGACCCCTGCTCCCCATGCTGATAGATAAAGCTGACTGGCCCACATGCATTTAAGACCTTAAAAGTTATAAATAGATTAAGAGTAACTGGGTGGTTGGAGTAGGACAAGGAATGGCAATTAAATTTCTATTCAAAGAACATGAAAATATTGTGATGTCACATGTCATAACCCAATATATTGAGAGTAAATAGGTTTAGACATTATCTGTGTTTGGAAAATTCAATAGTAAAAGATCTACACAAATATCAGCACAATAACTGGATATAGAATCCCCCAAAAGTGAGCTTAAGTGTTCTGGTATTTTAAGGAACTTTGAAGGAATGTAATTTATACATCCAGTGATCCACTGGACATTAAATCTACACTAGAGCTAATGTGTCTCCAAAATTAATTATGCATATGCTCTTCTGTTTCTTTGGGAACATGAAACTCAAAGGCCTAATTTTATAACTAAGAGACCAGCATTAGAGCTTAGAGCTTTCTTTCTTTTTTTTTTTTTTAAAGATTTTATTTATTTATTTGACAGACAGAGATCACAAGTAGGCAGAGAGGCAGGCAGAGAGAGAGGTGGAGGCAGGCTCCCTGCGGAGCAGAGAGCCGGATGTGGGGCTCGATCCCAGGACCCTGGGATCATGACCTGAGCTGAAGGCAGAGGCTCAACCCACTGAGCCACCCACGCGCCCCGAGCTTAGAGCTTTCTTAATAAGAAAGAATTTCCTTTGGAATGGCCCTCAGCCGACTCCCTGAGCTGATAGGAACCATTTTCTCCTACTTTTTAACTGTGGCTCCATGAGAAGAATGAATCCCAGTCAAAAAGTTAAGTAAGACCTATTGACATTGATCAACTGCGGAGAGTATCAGATATTATTGATAAGTGATCTATTTGAGTGGTATTAAAGTCAAATAAAACTATATAGTAAAGTATTAGACTCCTTTGTGAACAAGGGTATGTGAGCAGGAAAGTGTCTGGATATATTTTCTGGTGATTTGGAGATGAGCTGTAGTTACTTAGGCTATTTTTAGCTAATAGCAAAACATAGAGTAAATTTAGTCAATCAAGGGAAAAGGTTAGCAATCTGTTGTTTGGTACCTGTTGAAGGTGCATTCTCCTGAAACAGACTCTGAAATGGAGGTTGGCATGCCAGAGACTGTGGGGGAATCACCACCTGTAGAAGAAAGAGAAGAGAAGGAAGCAGAATTGGCCAAAGAGAGAAGTTGGATTGTAATGCTGTTTCTCAGCCAAGCCTTAGGGGGAGCCCTAATGCTGAACTGACTCCAGATTTGTCCTAGGTTAGGGTAAGGAGACTGATCCTTTAAAATTCTGAATCTAGTAGTCACTGGACATAGGTACCCCAAGGAAGGAGGCATGACTTTGAGGACAGTACCTCTCTTCCACCTAGGGCAACATTTTGCAGTATTCACTACAGCACTACTGGGGAAAAGAGATGAGGACACCATAGTGAGAACAATGTTTACTATTCACTTGATTATTAAGGCATAGAATTCGGTGCCATTAGCACTCAATGTCAATAATTACTATTTAACAAATGTCGTTCCATGCCAAGCACTGTGCTATGGAATACGTACTATTTCATCTAATGTTAAAACTCTGCAAGGTAGGCATCATTATCTGTAGTTATAAAGGAAGAAGCTGAAGATCAGAGAAGCTAAATGACTTGCCCAGGGTCATATATGGTAGATGGAACCAAGATTTATGTTCAGGTCTGACTCCAGTACTGTTCTCCTGGAGCACGCACCATGTATTATGATGCTGAATGTTGTTGGAGAAGATACCTGTTCAAGGAATGCAGGTTTGCCTCTCATACTTACTAGGTGATATTACAAACCACATTTAAACAAGTTCAATGAGTTTCTATGTAGATGCTAACAGTGGTTAGCAGTTTTAAACTCCATTACTTTAAAAAGGAAAAATGAGTAATAGTTACTGCTCTGTTGACCATTAAAAATCTTTACTTCATGACAGGAAGCCCTGAAATAGTATAACTGGATATCATTATAAAGCTGATAATGCCCGTGGAACTCTGACCAGGATATACACATCTATTCAGTAGAGAAGCCCCCATCTATTCCAAGTATTTTGAAATACATTGTTGATTGACAGCACAAGCAGAAGGTTAGGCTAGAATAAAATAGATAGCATTTTTGATAACCGAAAGATTCTGTGCATTTATTGAGTAATCACGAAGGTCTCTTCTGTGTATGTAACAAGTTTCCTATCTTTGGGATGGAAATTACAAATATCATTTGCTGGTTTGTTTTCATTTCCTTAGGTCTCTCTACATCAATCTTCTGGGACTCTGGGCAATCCTTGTCTGCTCAGTGTTATGTGGGCTTGCCCTATATTCCAGGTACCATGACTGTGATCCTTGGACAGCCAAGAAAGTATCTGCACCAGACCAGGTTTAGTACCATGTCTTTCTTACATGTGTATTAATGTTATCCAGAAAGCTTATTAGTTTGGGAGGAAAGAGTATTCATGTTTTTATAGCGAAAGAGCAAATGAGTACAATATAATCATCTTTAATTTCTAGAAAGCATTTGGCAAAAATTTATTTTAGCATATATAGCAAGAAGGAAGAATGCTGTATCCAAGATTAAAATATTGAAATACCTAGAAAATTCCAAGCCAAGTGTTAAAGAGAACTAGGTCAACACTGGGAATAGAAATGTAAATACAGTTAAAGAAGAAAAACTATATACAAACCATGGTGGTGTAAAACATTTTGTGAATATTCTTAGATCACTTTTATATCAACAGCTTACCTTCCAGTTCTTAAATGATAGAGAAACAGATCTAATGAGTGAACATTTATAGAGTACCAACCAAGCAGTGAGAGAATGTGCCTAGAGCTTTGCGTGCTTTATCTCTTTTAATTCTCATAACCCAGTAATTATAAATCTAGAGATGAGGAAATGAGTGATTCACAGAGAGGTTATATTACTTGCTCAAGGTCATAGGGCTGATAAATAAGTATAGCCTCAAGAATTCATCATCCTGTCATAAGTGCTTTCTATAAACTTCAACTTTGAATCCTTAAAGCTACACACTGAGATAGGTGCTCTCATTATATCCCTTTCAAAGATGAGGAAACTGAGGCACAGACAAGCTATGTAATAGCTAGTAAACCTGGAACCAGAATTCAAGTACAGGCAGGCTGCCACCAGAGTTCTAACTTTGAACGCCGATGCTGTATACCACCTTTCAGAAAGTGTAGCTAGAATTCAAACCCAGGACCGCTAGACTCCGAAGCTTGGGTTCTTGCCAAAATTATGTTCTAAGACTTGCTTGTAAATCAAGTGCCCAGAAGACTCATTAGATTGAAGATAGACTGAATTTTGTCTTGACATAAATGCATCACATACTCCTAGAAAAATAATGCAGTTTTGTGGGACTAGAAAATGAGAACCTCCTTGAGCTGTGCGTCTCAACCCTATGTTCACATGTATCCTCCTGTGAATAAATAGATCTTTCCTATTTGCTCAGAGAATCTAAGAATCATGTTTACTTTGAAGGTAGATGCACTCTTCCCTCATATGCTCTCTAGTGAAGAATGTTTTGTCTGTAGTTTATATCATGACGATAATAGGGATGTTAAAAATGTTTCTCATCTATCTTCCCCTAACCCTAGATGACAACAACAAAAAGTATCTATACCTTCCTACCCTTGAGACTTCTTGCCTTAGAATGCATTCAGGGGTGTCTTGCATGCATCCACTTTTAAAGAGCCTGTACTGAATTTTTTTTTTTAAGATTTTATTTATTTACTCGACAGAGATCACAAGTAGGCAGAGAGGCAGGCAGAGAGAGAGAGGAGGAAGCAGGCTCCCTGATGAGCAGAGAGCCCGATGCGATGCGGGGCTCAATCCCAGGACCCTGGGATCATGACCTGAGCCAAAGGCAGAGGCTTTAACCCACTGAGCCATCCAGGTGCCCCTGTACTGAATTTTTTAAAAAGAAAGAGGTTTCGGGGCACGTGAGTGGCTCAGTTGTCAAGCTTCTGCTTTTGACTCAGGTCATGATCCCAGCGTCCTGGGATCAAGCCCCGCATAGGCAGGGTTCCCTGCTCAGCTGGAAACCTACTTCTCCTTCTCCACCCCTTGCTTGTGTTTCCTCTCTAGCTGTTTCTGTCAAATAAATAAATAAAATCTTAAAAGAAAAAAAAAAAAGAAAAAGAAAGTTTCCTCCTGATTGGATGATTCAGGTATTGTATTGATTATTGAGGAGTTAATGCAATTAACATTTCCCTAGGGATACAATGCACATAAGGCCCAGTAGTAGAAAGTCAGGTCAAAAAATTAACCCAAGGAGAGCAAAGATGTATTTCTGCGACACTCTGCTGGAGCTTACCCCGAGGAAGAAAGATTAGTGTCTAGATAGAGTTTTACTATTTTTCTATCTGTCAGTCTTACCTTGTTGGACCTATACCTGAGGGGGCCAGTTGGAATATGAAATATCACCCCCAAGGACTTTTGAGAAAATTGATATTAGGTCTTGTTATCCCAGTAACAATGGAAATTTGATGTTTAAGTATGGAATACTGCTTGAAGTTACACTTTTAAGATATCTTGGGAACACTGGGTCTTGATTTCATATAGAGATAAGTTCTGTTCTCTCTGAGACTAAAAAATTAGTAAGCTTTGGATGAAGTGGAAACATTCTTAAAATGACTGAACACTGACCCTTGTAACATTGGAGCTTGTTTGTCCACATACTGTAACAACCTTTGTCAAATGAAATCAGAAAAGGCTGATGAGATAGGACATGACATCCACTCTTTACTATTGGAGAAGGACTTGAGAATGATTCAGTGCAAGTGAGAGGAATTTTCCTAGAATATTTTCCTCCTAGGATCCTTTTAATTTAAAAATCAGTTTTGCCAGAAGACTGTCATGTGACATAGTACTGAAGTAATAAACCTTCCCATCCTTATTTAATATTATCTTTTTAAAAAGTAACTTATCAGAAAGTAAGTTGGTATCAGGAACTTTTTTTTATTGAAATAGGGCTAATAGTTTTGTTTTATTGTATTGTATTGTACTGTATTGTATTGTATTCTTTCAGTGTTCCAAGATTCATTGTTTATGCACCACACACAGTGCTCCATGCAATACGTGCCCTCCTTAAAACCCACCACCAAGTTCACCTAACCTCCCACCTCCCTCCCCTTTCAAACCCTCACCATGAGAGACTGTGGTATCAGGACCTTTATAAAAAGCACATTTCAGGAACTTCCCGAGGTTACTCTCTACTTGTCACTATGTCTCATACTGTATGCAGCTATAATTACACTTTCAGTCCTGGGCAGTGATTAAAGTTCACAAAGATCTTTGAGTCATCTGTAAAGTTAAGTGAATGCTGCTTATTACTTAAGCATAGAGGTATGTAAAATATTTCCTTTAAATTGATTTTTTATTCCAAAGAATGAGAACAGCTACCTTTTATCAAGCATTTACTGTATTCCATGTACTATGCTAAGAGCTTTACATAGATGATATAATTTAACTTTTATAATAAGTCTGTGAGGTTAGTTTTAGTACCCCTGCTTTACAGATGAAGAGACTAAGTCTTAGAGAAGTAACAAAGACCACTTCTGTCTGAATCCAGACCCTGTGTTCTTAACTACTCTGCTATTATTTTAAGTATTAGCAATAAACGAGTTTAATTTTTCATATTTAGAAATTTCAACTATATGGAATAGGTTCCTTTAATTCTTGAAGAACACAAGATAAATGAGGCATTAATTAATTTTATTTGATAGCAAATAACACTCAGAAGTAAATTTTGGAATTTTTCAGCTCATGCCTTATTTGGTACTGGACATTCTGCAAGATTTTCCGGGACTTCCTGGACTTTTTGTGGCCTGTGCTTATAGTGGAACATTAAGGTATAAACTATGACTCTAATAATACATGGTTTTCCTGTTGGGATCTTTCTTTCGTTATTGGATATTTTGGGGGATAAAGCTGAATTTTGTATATGAGCACCAGTGTCCCAAAGTGGGTAATTTACTCCATGTATCTTCTCTGTTGGTCTCACTCTTACCCATGTGAACTATCAGTCTATTAACCTCAGTCTCCACTTTTAACTTGGGCTCTACTGTAATACATCATCACATACTATGTAAGGTCATCATAAAAATGATCAATTGATTGTAGTTTTCACTGATTATCAAAAAGGGATGCCTACAGTCTTAGTTTAAACTGTATGTATATCTAAACATGGTCAAATGGAAAATTAGAATTAAATCTCCTATTACATGCTGAATAATATACACTGTCCAAAGAATCTTGTTCTGCCTTTCAACTTACTCATTGTACTTTTTTCCAGTGTTTGTGCCAGGGAATGAATTCTTATTATTAACATGTACAGTGTTAGTGAGGATCCAGGAAATTAATAGTATTGATATTTATGGCATATGTTTCTAAGGATTTATGACAGTCCTTTCTATGCACAAAAAGGAATATATTTTAAAGTCATTACATAGTAGTACTATGTAGTCTGTGTAAATTCTCTCCATAGACACTAAGGATTTATTGCAAAGTGGAAGCAACATAAAATTCTTCTCCTCACTATCAACCCTTTGGATGTTGCCTGAATCATTCTTGGATGATAGCAGCTTCCAGAAAGAGGGTGTTGTAATCATTAAAAATATAGTAGAAATCTGGTTATATTGACAGTTTGGTTCCCCCTTTCTTATTCCTACTTAAAGTACTATCAAAGTTAAAATATTATAAATCAAAAGATTGATTTTTCTCTTACAGCACAGTGTCCTCCAGTATTAATGCTTTAGCAGCAGTAACTGTGGAAGATCTAATTAAACCTCACTTCAGATCGCTCTCAGAAAGGTCTCTCTCTTGGATTTCCCAAGGAATGAGTGAGTTTCCATTTTCACGATCCCATTTTACCTTGAAGAGATGATTTTTAGAAATACCAGAAATCTTGGGTACCTGGGCAGCTCAGTTGGTTAAGCAACTGCCTTCTGCTTGGGTTGTGATCCTGGAGTTCTGGGATTGAGTTCTGCATCGGGCTCCCAACTCCCTGGGGAGTCTGCTTCTCCCTCTGATCTTCTCCCCTCTCATGCTAGTTCTCTCTCTCTTAAATAAATAAATAAATAAATAAATAAATAAATAAATAAAATATTTAGAAAGAAAAAAAAGAAATACCAGAAATCTTTTCCATGGAAGATATAGGGTAAGAACCTATGAGTGTTAATGTATATATACATATGCATGCCTATGACTAAATGTAGTCATGCTGTATTTGCAATCAAGATTTGAGAGACACTTCAAGCAATTAATTGTCAGGGGACCACGAAGAACAATATCCAGGGGTCCTTATTTTTTTTTTAAGTTTTAACTTAAATTCCAGTTAATTAACATACACTGTAATATTAGTTTCAGTGATTCAACACTTCCATACAACACCCAGTGCTCATCATGACAAGCGCAGTCCTTAATCCCCATCACCTATTTCATGCATCCCTCTACCCACCTCCCTTCTGGTAACCGTCAGCTTGTTCTCTGTGTTAAGAGTCTGTTTCTTGATTTGCCTCCCTCTTTTTCCCCCTCTGTGCTTGTTTGTTGTGTTGTTAAATTCCACATATGAGTGAAGTCATACAGTATTTGTCTTTCTCTGACTGACTTATTTCACCTGTCATTATATACTCTAGCTCCATCTATGTCATTATAAATGGCAAGATTTCATTCTTTATGGCTAATATTGTGTATGTATACCACATTGTCGTTATCCATTCATCAGCTAATGACACTTAAGCTGTTTCCATAATTTAGCTATTATAGACAATGGTGCTATAAACATTGGGGTGCATGTATCCCTTCAAATCAGCATTTTTCTATTTTTCGGGTAAAAACCTAGTACTGCAATTGCTGGATCATAGGGTAGTTCTATTTTTAACCTTTTGAGGAATCTCCATACTCTTACATACATACAGCGACTGCACCAGTTTGCTTTCCCACCACAAGTGCAGGAGGGTTTGCCTTTCTCCATATCTTTGCCAACACCTGTTGTTTCTTTTGTTGTTGATTTTAGCCATTCTGACAGGTGTGAGGTAATATCTCATTGTGGTTTTGATTTGTTTACCTGATGATGAGTGATGTTGAGCATCTTTTCAGGGTCCTTATTTGGCTATCCTTCTTTTTTCACTTCTTCATATCCCAAATCTATGTTAAAATTCTTAGCCACATTGGATATTCTTTCCTGCTTTGTCGAAGATTAGTTGACCATAGAGTTGAGGGTCTATTTCTGGGCTCTCTATTCTGTTCCATTGATCTATGTGTCTGTTTTTGTGCCAGTACCATGCTGTCTTGATGATGACAGCTTTGTAATAGAGCTTGAAGTCCGGAATTGTGATGCCACCAACTTTGGCTTTCTTTTTCAATATTGCTTTGGCTATTCGAGGTCTTTTCTGGTTCCATATAAATTTTAGGATTATTTGTTCCATTTCTTTGAAAAAAATGGATGGTACTTTGATAGGAATTGCATTAAATGTGTAGATTGCTTTAGGTAGCATAGACATTTTCACAACTTCAACAAATGGAGTTGGGAAAATTGGACAGCCACATGCAGAAAAATGAAACTGGACCATTTCCTTACACCACACACGAAAATAGACTCAAAATGGATGAAGGATCTCAATGTGAGAAAGGAATCCATCAAAATCCTTGAGGAGAACACAGGCAGCAACCTCTTCGACCTCAACCGCAGCAACATCTTCCTAGGAACATCGCCAAAGGCAAGGGAAGCAAGGGCAAAAATGAACTCTTGGGATTTTATCAAGATCAAAAGCTTTTGCACAGCAAAGGAAACAGTTAACAAAACCAAAAGACAACTGACAGAATGGGAGAAGATATTTGCAAATGACATATCGGATAAAGGGCTAGTGTCCAAAATCTATAAAGAACTTAGCAAACTCAACACGCAAAGAACAAATAATCCAATCAAGAAATGGGCAGAGGACATGAACAGACATTTCTGCAAAGAAGACATCCAGATGGCCAACAGACACATGAAAAAGTGCTCCACATCACTCGGCATCAGGGAAATACAAATCAAAACCACAATGAGATACCACCTCACACCAGTCAGAATGGCTAAAATTAACAAGTCAGGAAATGACAGATGCTGGCGAGGATGCGGAGAAAGGGGAACCCTCCTACACTGTTGGTGGGAATGCAAGCTGGTGCAACCACTCTGGAAAACAGCATGGAGGTTCCTCAAAATGTTGAAAATAGAACTACCCTATGACCCAGCAATTGCACTGCTGGGTATTTACCCTAAAGATACAAACGTAGTGATCCGAAGGGGCACGTGCACCCGAATGTTTATAGCAGCAATGTCTACAATAGCCAAAGTATGGAAAGAACCTAGATGTCCATCAACAGACGAATGGATAAAGAAGATGTGGTATATATACACAATGGAATACTATGCAGCCATCAAAAGAAATGAAGTCTTGCCATTTGCGACGACGTGGATGGAACTAGAGGGTATTATGCTTAGCGAAGTGAGTCAATCGGAGAAAGACAACTATCATATGATCTCCCTGATATGAGGGAGAGGAGATGCAACATGGGGGCTTAAGGGGGTAGGAGAAGAGTAAATGAAACAAGATGGGATTGGGAGGGAGACAAACCATAAGTGACTCTTAATCTCACAAAACAAACTGAGGGTTAATGGGGGGAGGGGGGTTGGGGGGGTGGGATTATGGACATTGGGGAGGGTATGTGCTATGATGAGTGCTGTGAAGTGTGTAGACCTGGCGATTCACAGACCTGTACCCCTGGGGATAAAAATATATGTTTATAAAAAATAAAATTTAAAAAATCATAAAAAAAAAAAAAATACTTAGCCACAGAAAAAATTCAACCCTCTTCCTTTCCAAACTTTAGTCAACAGTTTTAAGAAATACCCTTAGTTTGGAGCCAAGAACCACATTTTTCTTCTTTATTACATAAGAGGGCACCGTCAGCTTAAAGTACAGAACACTGGTGTACGCAACTGGTAAATTATCGAACACTACATCTGAAATTAATGAGGTACTATATGTTAGCTAATGGATTTTAAATAAAAAAAGAAAACCTGACCCCCCCAAAATAGAGTAAATAGTCTGTGTGTATGAATTGAAGATAAAGAAACAAACTATTAGGATTTTTGACCCATCTTGGTTGTCTATCCTATCTGTACATGCAGACTGCCCTGGAGATAGTCAATTATATTGTACAAGGAATGTTCAACTTCTATTGATAGATTATAGGACCTTATTAGGGGTTAAATATCAGTTGCATGGAAAGGTTTAAAGACCCCAGTTCCCAGATGTCCCAAATGGACCAATTGGACTCAAAGGAATCTGGTTACTGTACTTCATTCTTTGTGTTTGACATCTTAGTTATATGTATTCTAGGATGAATGAGTAACAAACTTGTTTTTAAAAAGAATATTTAACTTCAACTGAGTAACACTAATAGGCTGTCAAAGAAATAGTAAATAATATTCTATTTTGAACCATAATTCTATATGTAATCATCTTGACTATAGCCTGGAATAAATACTTAATTTTTATTCTTTGGTGTCCCTTAAATTTAAATAACATTGCATCATCTTATTATGTGCCTAATTTTCATCCTGGAGCATAATTTCAGAATGATACAATGCTTCCTAAAGAGTATTTAGATTGGTTCATTATAGGATTATTGAAGCTAGATGCTTTTAAATAGAAACTTTTGAAGCCAGACAGACCCAGTCTTGCTTTACCAATTTGTTAGCCTCAAGCAAACCCAATAACTCAATACAGCTTGAATTTTTTTGTATGAAAAATGTTGCAAAAGTATTAATCTTGCAGGTTCCATGAGGTTTAGAGATAATGGGCATAAAATAAGAAGCACTAGCTGGTGCTCAAGGAAGGATGTTGATGGTAATTAATAACAAATCAACTCTGCTAGTGTAGATGAGGTTTTCATTGACTTTGAAGAATTATATAAAGTCATTATCTTGAGGTATGAACAGTAAGGACATCATAGAGAAGAACATGGAAAGTAATTTGTATGTATTTCCATTAACTTTGAATACCAAAACTCCATAGTGGTGACCATTCATGAGCTATCAGATATAGAAAAATCAAACTAAATATATTGGAAATACTATTTACACTAGGATTTGGAGGCTTAAAAGATCACTGTGACATGAACTCTATGTAAAAAATTAATATAAGTTTTCCATTCAGGTGCAATAAGGTTATTTACCCAATATACTTAACAAAGATGTGACTTCTAGTGTAAATTAGATGTAATGAATGCACTGATTTTATAATGAGCAAAGTTATTCTTTTTGTGTTTTGATTTTTTATGTGGGAAATTATATTGACTGAATACAGGTGATTTGTGCTAAATGAAAATATTCAAAAATAAAAATCTGGGGGGCATGTGTGTAAATTTTCCTATAATTTAAAAAGTAGGGGCGCCTGGGTGGCTCAGTGGGTTAAAGCCTCTGCCTTCGGCTCAGGTCATGATCCCAGAGTCTGGGACTGGGCCCCACATCGGGCTCTCTGCTCTGCGGGGAGCCTGCTTCCTCCTCTCTCTCTCTGCTTGCCTCTCTGCCTACTTGTGATCTCTGTCTGATAAATAAAATCTTTTTAAAAATTTTTAAAATTAATTTAAAAAAATTTTTATAAACATATAATGTATTATTAGCCCCAGGGGTACAGGTCTGTGAATCGCCAGGTTTACACACTTCACAGCACTCATAAATAAAATCTTAAAAAAAAAAACCCAGTAAAACATGTATTTGGAGAAAATCTGGAACGTATAAAAACCAAAGGAAAAAAAAACCCTATAATTATAATCTGACCAACAGTGGTGGCTTGAGAATTCATATAAAGTTTGGGAAAACAAGTTGGTAGAATGGGTAACATCAGACTTGATACTATCTTCCTTTGCTAGTTTAACAGGAAAGGCTTAGTGATGTTGTTGGAGATTACAAGAGGGCTAAAGGTCCTAAACCATCCCTTGGTGTGGATTGTCACTTCCCAGAAGAAATGAACACTTCAGATCAGACAACTCTAATTTCTCATGTTTATTACTCCCCTCCCCCATCATGTCATACAGATTGTGTCCTGTTTCCGGCAAACTGGAAACAGAGACCTGAGCCTTCCTTTATAAAATAAATGTTTATGGAGGATTAGATTAATAACACAATAGTTCTTAGCTTAAAAGTCTCTATGGTTAATGCTAGGGATTTTTTTACTTATATAATCTAATGTTGTCACTAATCCCGGTACACAATATCAGAGTTTTCTTTCCCCTTTGCACACTGCTGATCCTGTAGGAAAACACCCCTTCCCTTTTTTTGGCTGGCTCTGATGTATGTGGCCAATTTTCACCACAATCATACCAATTACTTTGAATCAAAGACAAGGTAGCTTGTTCTATTGAGAATTCTAATCCTCTCGGTCTGAATTTTACCCTGGCTTTTTTTTTTTTTTTTTGATTTTTTTTTTTAATTTTTAAATTTTTTTATAAACATATAATGTACTTTTATCCCCAGGGGTACAGGTCTGTGAATCGCCAGGTTTACACACTTCACAGCACTCACCATAGCACATACCTTCCCCAATGTCCGTAACTCCACCACCCTCTCCCTCCCTCTTCCCCCCAGCAACCCTCAGTTTGTTTTGTGAGATTAAGGCTCACTTATGGTTTGTCTCCCTCCCAATCCCATCTTGTTTCATTTATTCTTCTCCTACCCCCTTAACCCCCCATGTTGCATCTCCACTTCCTCATATCAGGGAGATCATATGATAGTTGTCTTTCTCTGATTGACTTATTTCGCTAAGCATGATACCCTCTAGTTCCATCCATGTCGTCGCAAATGGCAAGATTTCATTCCTTTTGATGGCTGCATAGTATTCCATTGTTTACACTGGCTTTTATGTCATCCATCTAGGTGTGCTGTTTGGAGTTCTCTGCATCGGAATGGCTGCATTGGCATCACTAATGGGAGCTTTGCTGCAGGTAAGAGCTGATTCTGCAAGGTTTGAATCATAAACACTGAATTCTTCCTTTTTTTAAATGTTGATGTGACTATCCTTCCAGACTTCTCTAGTCATCTATACAAAGCAATCGCAAGGAACTGAATTGCCTAAATTCTTTAAAATTTTTTTAAATTAAACTTTCTATTATGATATAGTTGAGATTTATGTGCAATTTTAAGAAATAAGAGAGAAAGATCCCATAAATCCTTTACCTAGTTTTCCTCAATGGTGTGAGACTTAGATTGATGTTCCTTCCCCCACTTCTCTATAGATGTACAGTTGTAAAGGCTGTGTTTCTTCCACTGAATTGCACCTATATCAAAAATCAGTTAGGGAGGGTGCCTGAGTGGCTCAGTCAGTTGGGTGTGTGACTATTTCAGCTCAGGTCTTGATCTTGGGGTCATGGGACTGAGCCCCTTGTCAGACTCTTCACTGAGTGCAGAGTCCGCTTGCCCCTCTCTCTGCACCTTTCCCAGCTTGCATACACATGCTCCCTCTCTGTCTCAAATAAATAAAATATTTAAAAAAATCAGCTAGGCATATTTGTGTGGGCTTATTTCTGGTTTCTCTTTTCTGTCCTATTAATCTGGTGTGTCTGTCCCTCTGCCAGTAGTATACAGTCTTGATTTTTGTAGCTTTATAATAAGTCTAGAATCAGGTAAACTAATTCCTTCCACTTTATTCTTTTTTTTAATTTTTAAAAATTTTTTTAAAGATTTATTTTTATATATTTGACAGACAGAAATCACAAGTAGGCAGAGGCAGGCAGAGAGAGAGGGGGGAAGCAGGCTCCCCGCCGAGCAGAGAGCCCGATGTGGGGCTCGATCTCAGGACCCTGAGATCATGACCTGAGCTGAAGGCAGAGGCATCAACCCACTGAGCCACCCAGGCGCCCCCTTCCACTTTATTCTTATCTTTCAAAAATGTGTTAACTATTCTCATTCCTTTGCCTTTCCATATAAAGTTTAGAATAATCTTCTGTATACCTAAAAAAAATGTCACTTAGATTTTGATAAAATTGCACTAAACCTATATATCAATTTGGGGAAACTTGACATCTTTACTATATTGAACCTTTGAATCCATGAATATAGTATATCTCTTCATTTATTTAGATCTCTGATTTTTCTTATAACCATTGTTTAATTTTCAGTATATAAGTTCTGTGTATATTTAGTAATATTTACACCTTACAATTAATAAATTGTTTTAAGTTTTTTAAAAAGACATTTATTTGAGAGTGAGTGTGGGCATGAGTGGGTAGAGGGGCAGAGGGAGAGAATCTCAAGCAGATTCCCCACTGACCACAGGTCTCAAAGTGGAACTCAGTCCCACTATTCATCAGATCATGACCTGAGCCAAAATCATGAGTTGGATACTTAACCAACTGAGCCACCCAGGTGCCCCATAGTTTTTTAAAGTATTAATTTTAATTCCAGTTAGTTAACATACAGTGGTCTATTAGTTTCAAGTATACAATATAGTGATAGTGATTCAATGATGCCATACATTTCCTGGTGCTCATCATGACAAGTGTGCTCCTTAATCCCCATCACCTATTAATCCATCCCACCATCCACCTCTCCACTAGGAACCATCAGTTTGTTCTCTATATAGTTAAGGGTCTGTTTCTATTAAGGAGGGCACATATTGCATGGAGCACTGGGTGTGGTACATAAACAATGAATTTTAGAACCTTGAAAAAATAAACTTTTTTTTAAAAAGAGTGTTTCTTGGTTCATATCTCTCTCTCTACTTTTTTTCCCTTGCTCCTTTGTTTTGTTTCTTAAATTCCATATGAGTGAAATCATATGATATTTGTCTTTCTCTGACTGATTTATTTTGCATAGAATTATACTCTGTAGCTCTAGCCCTGTCATTATAAATGGCAAGATATCATTCTTTTTTATGGCTGGCTAGTATTCTCATATATATGAGCTTTTTTCTGCGTCTATTGAAATGATCATATAGTTCTTATCTTTTCTCTTATTGCTGTGATGCATCACATTGATTTGCAAATATTGAACCACCCTTGCAACCCAATAATAAATCCCACTTGATTGTGGTAAATGATTTTTTTAATGTATTGTTGGATTCAGTTTGCTGGTATTTTTTTTGAATATTTTTGCACCTTTGTTTATCAAAGATATTGGCCTGTACTCTTTTTTTTGTGGTGTCTTTATTTGATTTTGATATCAGGGTATGCTGGCCTCATAGTGTGAATTTGGAAGTTTTCCTTCCTTTTCTATTTTCTGGAATAATTTGGGAAGAGTAGGTATTAGTTCTTCTTTAAATGTTTGATAAAATTCACCTGTGAAGCCATCTGGACTTCTGTTTTTTGGGAGTTTTTTGATTAATGATTCAGTTTCTTTGCTGGTAATTGGTCTGTTCAAATATTGTATTTCTTCCTGTTTCAGTTTTCATAGACTACATGTTTTTAGGAATTTATTTCTTCTAGATTATCCAATTTGTTGTTTTTCATAATATTCTTTTATAATTATTTGTATTTCTGTGGTGTTGGTTGTTATTTTTCCCTCTCTCATTTGTAATTTTATTTATTTGAGTCCTTCCTCTTTTTTCTTCCTAAGTCTGGCTAGAGGCTTATCAATTTTATTACTTTTTTCAAAGAACCAACTCCTGGTTTTTTGATCTGTTCTACTATATTTTTAAGTTTCTGTATCATTTATTTCTGTTCTGATCCTCATTATTTCCTTCCTTTTGCTAGTTTTAGGCTTTGTTTTTCTTTTTTCTAGCTCCTTTAGGTGTAAGGTTAGGTTGTTTTTTTGAGACTTTTCTTGCTTCTTGAAGTAGGCCTGTGTTACTATAAGCTTCCCTCTTAGAACCACTTTTTCTGCATCCCAAAGGCTCAAAACCATTGTGTTTTCATTTTCATTTGTTTCTGTGTACTTTTTAATTTCTTATTTTGCTTCCTAGTTAACTAGTTGACCCATTCATTGTTTAGTAGCATGTTCTTTTTAATTTAATTTATTTTTCAGTGTTCCAAGATTCATTCTTATGTACCATACCCAGTGCTCCATGCAATACACGCCCTCCTTAAATACCCACCACCAGGCTCACCCAACCCCCTACTCTCCTCCCCTCCAAAACCCTCACTTTGTTTCTCAGAGTCCACAGTCTCTTATGGTTCATCTCCCCCTCCAGTATCCCCCAACTCACTACTGCTCTCCTTCACCCAATGTCCTCCATGTTATTCCTTATGCTCCACAAGTAAGTGAAACCATATGATAATTGACTCTCTCTGCTTGACTTATTTCACTCAGCATAATCTCCTCCAGTCTAATTCATATTGATACAAAAGTTGGGTATTCATCCTTTCTGATGGAGGCATAATATTCCATTGGATATATGTATCATATCTTCTTTATCCTTTCGTCTGTTGAAGGGCATCTTGGCTCTTTCCACACTTTGGCCACTGTGGCCATTGCTGCTATTCAGGTACAGATGGCCCTTCTTTTCACCACATCTGTATCCTTGGGGCAAATACCGAGTAGTGCAATTGCAGCATCATAGGGTAGCTCTATTTTTAATTTTTTAAGGAGTCTCCACACTGTTTTCCAAAGTGGCTACACCAACTTGCATTCCCACCAAGAGTGTAGGAGGATTCTCCTTTCTCCACATCCTCTCCAACACTTGTTGTTTACCATTCTAAGTGTAAGGTGGTATCTCAATGCGGTTCTGATTTGAATCTCCCTGATGGCTAAGGATGATGAACATTTTTTCATGTGTCTGTTAGCCATTTGTAGGTCTTCTTTGGAGAAGTGTCTGTTCATGTCTTCTGCCCATTTTTTTGACATGATTATCTGTTTTTTGTGTGTTGAGTTTGAGGAGTTCTTTATAGATCTTGGATGTCAGCCCTTTGTCTGTAGTGTCATTTGCAAATATCTTCTCCCATTCCATGGGTGGCCTCTTTGTTTTGCTGACTCTTTCCTTTACTGTGCAGAAGCTTTTGATCTTGATGAAGTCCCCAAAGTTCATTTTTGCTTTTGTTTCCTTTGCCTTTGGAGACATGTCTTGAAGAAGTTGCTGTGGCTGATGTCGAAGAGGTTACTGCCTATGTTTTCCTCTAGGATTTTGATAGATTCCTGCCTCATGTTGAGGTCTTTTATCCATATTGAGTTTATTTTTGTGTATGGTGTAAGAGAATGGTCAAGTTTCATTCTTCTATACATAGCTGTCCAATTTTCCCATCACCATTTATTGAAGAGACTGTCTTTTTTCCACTGTATATTTTTTCCTGCTTTGTTGAAGATTAGTTGACCATAGAGTTGTGGGTCCATGTTATTTAACCTCCATGTATTTGTGGTCTTTCAGATTTTTTTCTTGGGTTGACTTCTGATTTCATAGTGTCGTGGTCAGAAAAGATGCATGGTATAATTTCGATCTTTTTTAATTTGTTGAGGTTTCTTTTGTGGCTTAATATGTGAGCTATTCTGAGGAATGTTCCCTGTGCACTTAAAAGAATGTGTATCCTGCTGTTTGATGATGGAATGATTTAAATATATCTGTTATATCCATCTGGTAGTATGTCATTCAAAACCATTGTTTACTTGTTGATTTTCTATTTAGATGATCTGTCCATTGATTTAAGTGGGGTGTTAACATCCCCTAATATTACTGTATTACTATCAATTAGTACCTTTATGTTTGTTATTGTTTAATGTATTTGGGCACTTCCATGTTAGATGCATAAATATTTACAATTGTTATATCTTCTTGTTGGATTATCCCTGTTATTATTATATAGTGTCCTTCTTTGTCTCTTGTTAGGATCTTTTTTTATTTTTATTTTTAAAGATTTAATTTATTTATTTAGGAAGGGAGAGGGAGAGAATCTCAAGCAGACTGTGCTAAACATGAAGCCTGACATGGGGCTCAATCTCACAAATCTGAGAACATGAGCTGGAATCAAGTGTCGGACACTTAAACTACTGAGCCACCCAGGTGTCCTAGGATCTTTAT